ATGAGTGGGGGGGGGGGACGTGTGCTGCGCGTGCATGCGTTGCTGAGAGCGGTGCGTGTGTAGTGCCTTCGCAATAAGCAAACCAACAATATCTCATTTTGATTAAGAGTGCTCCACGTTTTTTCGGCGACGTAAACAATAAAACGCGACTAAGCCAATAGATCACGATAATGGTGTCCTTCAAATCAATGTACGGCCTTTAGCATTCGCATTTACTAGTCCTATGATTTAAATAAGGTGATCCATTACCTGTGCTGGAAATGCACTTTTGCATACTCGTATAAGGAGCATTTCACTTACATCAAAATTCCACTACAAAAAGAAAGATTTCTCTTTCCCAGACAAAGCACTGACATGTAGACGGCGAGAGTAGAAATCCACCGGTAGACAAGCTCTATTGAGAAAACGTACGTAAAAAATAAATTGACCCCTATATTCGCCATACACCTATACTACTTTGTTTACAAAATATTAATATTTCGCAGCTAGAACAATGAATATATTATGATGAACGTTTTCATGCATTAAATTAACAAAATATAATGAAAATTATTTGCATGATGTTGCGTTCTTTTAGCCGATAAAAGTGGGTGAGGGGAGAAACGCCACATAGTATCAGCAGAGCGACACAATAGTTAACCGCGCGGCCAAGGGGCTTGGCGGAAGGTATTTTTTCCACCGCGTGTGTTTGAAATAATGGTTTGTGGGTTTGTGGTTATGTGGGTTTGAGTGAGCTCATTGAGGCTGAATTGGCCCGCCACCAAAGCCCAAAGCCGCCGCCGCGCCGCGAACGACCTGTATCAATACAGGTTAAAGCCTAACTAACCACAACCAACAAGACCTCGTCATAAGAATTTTCAGGATACGTCAGAAATATGGGCATAACGTTAGAAATGTGAATGAGGATTTTGGTGAGTGGATACCGATCCAATTAAGTTAATTCACATTCATCATTAGTAATAATAAGATAGGTCAGAATGGGGTAACTTAGAATTGATTACATTTTGGCTGGATGAATGCCGGTTCCAGTCTGAAATTACAGACGCACCCAGCACACGTCGTGCGCATACGTTGCGATCGTATTGATTATACAACATACAACCAAGAAAATATCAGCTTCGATCAACCACAGACTGCCCGCATTATATTCATCATTATTTCACTCTTATTATTTACTATTCTGCTGTATTCTCACGCGACTTTTATGCACGTTAATCCAAAAAGTCATCCCTGACCGCGGCCGTGCCCGCTATTACTGCAACGCAGTTCGCCCCTACATTTTTCCCGACGTTATATTCCGCTTCACATGATGCTTCGAAGCTGTCTCAACGTAAGGACAAGTCGCCCTCCCCTTCTGCTGGTCCATTAGTTTCAGCCAAGATAAGCTAGTGAATTGCATTTGTAAGTGGTATTATACCTCTGCTGCCCGACTCCTCTCTCTCCTTCATCCTCCCTCAACCGCAGCAGGTTTTACTGTGGCATTCGGCGGGAGACGCTAACTGATGACAGAACAGCTTACTTATCCGACTCTATGTCTCTCTCTGGCATTGAACGCTCTAATACAAGTGACCGTGTTATGCTGCGTTCTACACTTATCTGATTTTTGTCAGCTAAATCGTCCGAGTTCCGTGCAATATTATAGAACACGTTCAAGTTTCTCTCAACCTCGGGACTTGACTCCGACTTCGTGCTAGAAAACCGTAATGAACTCACAAACAACAATCTAATTCTTGAATGGCACATCTGGGTCAAGTCGGGTGCATTATTTGGACATGCAGCTTGAAATCGTCTTAAACGATTTTGCTGGTACAAAAATCGATAGTAATAAGATCCATGCTTTACACTACCGTCGTTCATACGTGTATTATGATATTTATATAAGACTGTTGTAAGAGATTAATGTTTATGTTATATCATTCCAAAATGGTTATGTATATTATATTTATTAATTATTTTATTTATTTATTAATATTAAATTAATATTATTTTATGGTGATATATTAATTCGGATTATAGATTTATTATCGATTGTCTAGTCACCTGCGACACCGGTCGCGACTGAATTAACCATCAGATACATTTTTTAATTACACTCGACGACTTCTGACAAGCGAAGGCGAGCTACTCGAACGAGCGAATTTGTTAACTAAGTGGCGGATTCGTATGTCCTACGTGAGTTATCGATAAGACAACGATTTAAAGTTGTTAATTAGCTGAGAAGAGTCCAGCACCTGCCCAAACAAAATATTTTTTCACGCAACGTTCAACTTCAGGCTGATGGAAGTTTGTTTTTTGCAGCTAACACACACCTTAAAAAAGAATTCCAGTACACCACACACACAACACACACAGATCTATCTATCTTAAAAGAAACGCCCGGCACACACACAACACAACACACACATAACAGCACACATACACACACACACAACACACACACACACAAGACACACACACACCACAACATAAAATATATAATATATTATATAATAGAAAGTAAAATCACCGCAGCGACGAACACCCATTGTAGATACAAAGGACAACATTCAAATAATAGCGAGTTAAAGAGTGTTTAAAAAATATAATTATCGACTTTCGCGAGATACATTTCAGATCATATATTATTACAATTGCTATTGCCTATATATAGTATGTTGTGTGTGTTGCGAGGCGTACCCTGCGCAAGTATATGTGCACGGTGCACACTATCGACGCTAATCAGTCAGACAGACGGTCGGGTGACAGAGGCGATGAAGTGACATTGGTCGTGTTCGATTGTGTGCGGTGCCGCTCGATCTATTTTAGACAAGAAGTTCAGTAGTGAGAGTGTAGGGAGAGGGGAACGTGAGAGCCGAGAAAAACCGATATATATAGTAATATAATATTAATATATATAATAATATAAAAATATAATAATAATAATGTATAAAGAGAGAGTCGAGAGATAAAGAGACAAGATTAGGGAGATGCAGAGGCCAGATAGACGTTGAGTAGACAAGGAAAGAAGAGATAAGAGCAAAATAGAGACATTGAGTGAGAGAGAGTAGTAAAGATGAGAAAAGAGAGTAGAGATGTTAGAAGAGAGAGAGAAGAGCAAAAAGAGAAGAAGAGAAATAGATGGATAGAGAGAGAGAGAGAGAAAAAGGAAAAAGTGCGCAACAGTACAAAAACTTTATATATTCTTTTCTAAACGTGCATTGGATTTTATATCTTTATATACGGCACCTGTCGATTCGTAGCTAGTTATTCTCCCACTGTTCTGATATTTTCTTCACCAAAGATGGCTTCGTGTACGCGTCTGCGGCCCGACTACGTCCCCAACCGGGGAGTTCACACACCGAGTTAAACAGCGTTACTTCTCTTTTGTCTTTAAGATCACCAGACAAAGGGTGGTCAGCACCATAAAGCGGCCTCAAACATAACTGAATACCAGGCCAACCGACTGTACGCCGGGAAACAATGGACGGCTCCGGAAATCCTGCGGGAGAATTTCCCGCCGCCGCGCGGTACACAAAGGGGCGATGTGTACAGTTTCGCTATCATCATGTATGAACTAATCTTTCGCTGTCCGCCGTACAACTTTGACGTAATCACGCCCAGGGGTACGTAGCTCGCCGTCATTCGTCGCAAGCTTGCCGCGCTCGTCCGATTCCTTTTCATTCGTGCGTACAGGCAGGCCGAATCCTTACCGCAGCACTGCGCAAATCCTTCTACAGTACCCCCGCAAACCTTCCTCTCCCACCCTCGCAAACTTTTTTCCAGCCTCGAAAACCCTCTCCCATTACCCGCGCAAACCCTCCCTACCACCCTCTCAAACCCTCCCCACCACCCTCTCAAACCCTCCCCACCACCCTCTCAAACCCTTCCCACCACCCTCTCAAACCCTCCCCACCACCCTCTCAAACCCTCGCCACCACCCTCTCAAACCCTCCCCACCACCCTCTCAAACCCTCCCCACCACCCTCTCAAACCCTCCCCACCACCCTCTCAACTCTTCCTTACCACCCTCTCAAACCCTCCCCACCACGCTCTCAAAGCCTCCCCACCACCCTCTCAAACCCTCCCTACCGCCCTCTCAAACTCTCCCCACCACCCTCTCAAAGCATGCCCACCACCCTCTCAGACCTTCCCTACCACGCTCTCAAAGCCTCCCCACCACCCTCTCAAACCCTCCCCACCACTCTCTCAACCCCTCCCCACCACGCTCTTAAACCCTCCCACCACGCTCTCAAACCCTCCCCACCACCCTCTCAAACCCTCCCCACCACCCTCTCAAACCCTCCCCACCTCCCTTTCAAACCCTCCCTACCACCCTCTCAAACCCTCCCCACCACCCTCTCAAACCTTCCCCACCACCCTCTCAAACCCTCCCCACCACCCTCTCAAACCCTCCCCACCACCCTCTCAAACCCTCCCCACCACCCTCTCAAACCCTCCCCTAAACATTATAACAAATTTGTCCTCCCCATGTGTATCAGGCCAGTTCCACTGAGTGAACTTGGCCAGTGCATATAGTGGTTCATCTTATAGGTTTGCACATGTCCGCCTAGTTGGAAATTCAAGATGGCCGCCATATTGAGTATTCTAAATTGCATTATTGTATTCCTTGACCCAGAAAATGTATGTTTAGACACCAATATTGAGAGTCTAGTTAGTTTGAAAGCAGAGAAATTGGCATTTCTAGTTTTGCACATGTCCGCCATGTTGGATATCCAAGATGGCCGCCATAATATACTCGGAAGAAGTGGTTCCTATCAAAAATCTATTGCTAGGTCCACGTGGAAAAAATTTGGTGCTTTTGTTCGGAACGTCCACATTATTCCCAAATCTGGGTCTAAGCTGCCTGACTACTCAGTATAATGACTGAATTGCCCCTATTAAGATCTAATGACAAGACCTCTTGTTTATACTGAGGAATGTACTGCTTTCTTAAATTGCATGCCAATAATTCATTGGTAATTAGCCAATAATTCAGTAAACAACCGCGTGCCCCACTTATTCTCAATAAGTAAACTAACGCCATGAAATTGTGCCCCCAATAATTAAACAATTAAACTATATATTAAGCAACGAACGCTGCGCGGTTCGATACCCTAAACGCTCGCGTTAGGGTTCGAGTCCCGTCATTACGTGTTGTCGTCCGTTCGGCAGACGCCATCAGTAGGATTCGTAACGGAGAGGCGAAGCCGTTCCGTCCGACGCTCACCGACATGACGCTAGCAGA